AATTCGGAAACAGAATTTGGAATTCTTCAGGCGGCACTCGTATATATACAATTTAAATAATCTTAACCGCAAAAGCTTTTGCAATAATATTTTAAATTCTGATATAAATACAAGATACCTTTTTACATTTAATTTCGCGTATGAAATTTAATTATCTTTGTACTTTTAAGAATAAAAACTGTTTTAAACTCAATTTCAAATATTTACATTTTGGTATTTTGTCAAAATGCACAAGTAAAAGCAAAACAAGTTTTTTTTTAAATATTTATCGAGTGATTGGTTGTTAATCGATCAGCAAATTGAGAATATCTTGATTTGAACGCTATGTTCGACCGTGCTGCCTGTTATAAATAATTATCAGACCGCAGATATATATAATACATGAAATACTAGGGTATGGACTATTCTATGATCTACAAACATAATTCAACAATCATAGTAAATCCTAATAATAAAGATTTTTTATCGATCGTATAGAACTTTCGAATTACTAAACATGAGCAGGTAAAATTATATTTACTGATTTTTTTTTTTTTTTTTTAGTATTCTCTTCAAAGTAATAAAGCCCTTTTTTTTATTATTCTCATAATTGACTGGATTTTAGTAATTCGTTTTGTTTTAACTTATATGAAAAATTAAAAAGCTCTATTACTTTGAAGAGAATACTAAGAGTAATTCAATAAATATAATTTTATCTGCATAAATTTAGTAGTTCGAAAGTTCTATTAAACGAATGATCGATAAAAATCCTTAATATTTACTATCACTATGATGATCGGACTATGCTTGTAGAAATAGAATAGTCCACATCCTAATGAAATATGTAGTGTGTATTTACCTCAGCATATTCTAGTAAACCTTGTAGTTCTGCCTCAGTACGTGCTACTTCTTGATATTTTTCAAGACATTGTAGTGCATCCTCCAAATTTCCTCTGGCAAGTAATATTTCACTCATAATCGTATTAGCAATATCGCTCTCAGGCTCAACTATATATATGTAAAAAGTTCCGTTGTTAAAATATAAAAGATTTAACATATCTAACTATGTTCTACGTACTTTCTAGCGCTTGACGACAGTAATCTTCTGCCAAAGCCGAATCACCCTTCACATGGAAGCAAAGCATTGCCTTATTAACTAATGGCAACGCAAAATTTCCAGTTTGTAATTCATTGGCCTCGTCAAATTGCTCAATGGCTTCATCGATACGTCGTTGCTCTGCAAGGAGTTCTCCATAGTAATTATGCATTTCAGCAGATCTAGGAAATTTTTGTAATCCTTGCTGGAAAGTTTTCATCCCATCTTCAACTGATCCACTTTTATATTGAGCTATAGCAAGCTGAATATATGCAAATACAAAATCCGGATCGAGCTCAATTCTGCGCTGATAATCTTTAACAGCCATATTAAAGTCATTGTGAAGAAAGTGAATTTGGCCTCTAAACATTTCATGTTGATATGGGAGAAATACATATTACTGTGTTTCATTAAATTCTATTTAAAACATGAAGAAACAAACCTATGATAATATATATCAGGATCACTTGGGTCTATATTTATGGCTTTATCAAATTCCTTCAATGCTTCATCTATATTGCCTGTTAGTTGATTTCATGGATTGAACAAAAAATATTTCAAAAAATTATTAGGGTAGCGACATGTATTAGGTGATATTACCATCTCAGAATTTTCTACCCGGATTCCCATAATATTAACTAATATATGTCGCTCCAATTATAATTATAATGTTGATATTATAAATACCTTGTTCCGTGTAAATTGTAGCTCGCTTTACATAAAGTTGAACATAATCTGGTTTTAAATCGAGAGCCTTCTGGAAATCTGCCAAAGCACTCCGTGAATCACCCATTAAATTAGTGAAGGTACCTCTCAAATTGAGAGCCTTGGCCATCTTAGTACATCCAAGATTTATAGCTTTTTCATATGCATTCATAGCTTCTTCATATCGTTGTTGTCGTACAAAACGTTCTGCTGCATCAAATAAATCATCTGCATTACTTTCCAAATCTTGATCAGAAAATTCAATGGAGTTGGTATTTTCCAGTCCATTATTGGCCTCAGTATCTTGATCAATGGGTTCTGAGATAGGATATTAATATATTTAATTGATATTGGAAAAAATTGAAATGTCATTAGATAACATTCTTACCTTTCCGGAATGTATCTAGATATGATGAAATGAATTTTGTTGATGGTAGGTGCTTTTTCCGGTTCTTTATTTATTTTTGTATAATAATTAATAAAAAATCAAAAAGTGAAATAAATCAGTAAAATACGTTATTTATCACCTTGATAATTTCTTTAGCTTTGATGCTAGCCACTTTTTTCAAGAGGCGATCAATTGAAGTAGTAGCATTTTCGTTCTTGAACTCACCGATAATGCAAGCTGCGGTGAAATCTGAATGATAATTTTTAATATGATAGAAAGTTATTTAAATTTTAAAGCTCACTTTAAAAATATTTAATAATACCATGTAATGACTCTTCATAACGTGCAGTTTGTTCATATGCCATCGCACGCCTATTTAGAGCTTTAACGTAACAAGGGTCCATTTCTAACGCGCTATTACAATCATCTATGACCCTTAAGTAGTCATTTGTGTTATAAAAACATGCAGCTCGATTGCTGTAAAAAATAGGGTCATCCTGATTAAAAGCAATCGCTTGGGTGTAGAGTTTTATAGCCTTCTGGTAATTTTTTTTTCCGAATTCAACATTCCCTCGGTCTTTAAGTAATTTTGAAGCAGTGACACGTTTCTAGAAAAAAAAGATTTTTTAGATGCAAACATGTTTAATAATTTGGATATATTTTATAAATTTAAATAACCTCTCTAGGTAATGCAGTGATTTGTTCAGTGGAATACTTTTCAAATTCTTCAGCTTCAGCATCCTCCTCTCTATTTCTGGTTCCTCTGTCTCTTGCTGAAATATATTATAAATAAATAATTCGCATTAGCTTTTTTTTAAGAAAATAATAATGGCAGCATTCAGAAGTGAACCTGACTCCGCACTTTCTGGTCGTTTTGTTTTTTTTTTCGGCCGATTTGACGGTTTATGTGTTTTTGGTTTTGGGGATTTTGGAGTCCAAAAGAAGTATAGGCCAATTCCAGCCAATATTACTGTAGCAGACGCAGCAGCATAAAACTTGTAGTCTTTGCCTGCTAGATAATTCTTAATCGTTTTAATAAGTGTTGTGTTTGATTCCTGAATTTCTTGATTAGACGCGACATTAGATAACACTGCGTTCGTCATTCTAAAGCGAATAAGAAAATCAAAAATTAAAAATTCATGAATTTTATTTATGGTGATACGAGTTTAGTTAACAGCATTTTAACACGTGATTTGACACGATTTTACAAGATACATTAATTAAAAAAAAAAAAATTATATTTATTACTTTGAAAACCAAATGTACACTGTATTGTGAAAAGAAAAGAATAATACAATAATTGTATGGTATATTAATGGAGCACGGAATATTTTTTGTTACTACCAAAAAAAAAAAAAAAGGAAAAAAAAAAAGAAAAAAAGATATTGATCGAGATAATCCCCGCCTAATCTATATAAATATTTACAGCAACTTTCGAAAAAACATAGCAGACATACAAATGATCTAAAAGATGTTTCATACGTTTAGCAGAGCGATTTTACAAAAAGCTTAATTAGAATATACCTTGAAATAGTAATAACCAACATTATTTATTATCCGTGATACAAATTACCATACATTAAGTAACGATGTAGTTTCTTAAGACAAAAATGCCATTCACAATTCAGGAGACTTATTGTGAACTACTTCCTTTTCTTGAATAGATACACCTTGGTTGTTAGCTGCAGGTGAGGATCCGTTCGTGACAACCTCCTCTGTTACATGCTTGTCATCTTCATTTGCTATCGGTAGATCCTCTGTTTTTTCTAGTTCCATAGCAGCTGGAATTCTTTCTGTTTTAATTCCATTATTTTCAACTCGATCTTGCTCTTCGTTTTTGACATCAACTTCTTGCTCATCTGGTAAAGGTTGGTTAATGTCTTCATGTTTAACAGCTACATGTTGCGGCGATTCTCCTTCACCTTGAGCAACCATCTTGGGTGATGCATCTTCTCCCGTACCTTCTTGAGTGGGTGTATCCAACAAAAACTTCCACTTTCTAATTAATTCATTGCTTCGATCCTTGATATTATATTGATCAGGCTCGATTTTTAATTCAGTGACTTTTTTCATAAGTTTTCCAATTTTAATTTCCTATGGGCATTATAAAAAATACAAATACATATGTAAATATTAAACTCTTCGAAACAATATATTACATTTTACCTTCAACAAAGGAATAGTGATAGGGAAATTTTCCACTTCAGTAAATACTTCATTGATCTTTCCCATATCTTGTACCTATTTAAAAAACAATTAGTAATATAAATGAGAAATGATATAAAAAAAAAAAAAAAAATCTTTAAAGATACCTTGGATTTTATTACCATTCTTTGAAGCTTATGTCTAAGATGAAGTAATTTTTCGGATTGAGTTTCTGTAAATAAATCGAAATTTATTAATAGAAATAAATAAAAACAAAGATACAATTAGTAATATTAATAAATGAGTTCATACTAGATTTGTGCAATTTCGTTAATTTAATTTGGTTGTTTTCCTGTCAAAACTGCTTCATTTGCTTATTCTCAATGACATCTGTAATTGGTGATCTATCATCAGACTTGCCTGGAGACTTTGAACCTTCACTTCTGGTATCTTTCTTTGAATTTTGACGACGTTCCTGCTAATAGTATATATACATAATCCAAGTAAATTCAATATGCGCAAATTTGATTAAAAAACCCAATTTTTTTGAAGATATGAAAACGAACTAATCAAATACAGTAATAATACAGAATAAATAATCTTTTAAAAATTTGAAAAAAAAACTTGCCTGTTTATTATTGATACCATGTATAGCACTATGCGCATCTTGAAATGGTTCTACAAGAGAAGGATCGATAGTAATTAAAGCAACAGATAATTGATGACGTTGTTCAGAATTTAAAACAGTGGGCAAGGAAGGATCCATATCAAATAATATAAGAAAAAGCTGGCGACGTTCCGCAGTATTAAGCGCATAAATATTGTTTGGAGTTTCTATGATAAATTATTTTGCGCAAAGATCTTATTTGGAAAAATTTTAATAATACGCATACCCATATTGATAACTTATATTTTTTGGTGAATAATAATGAATAATAACTTTATGTATAATTATAAAGAAAAAGTTTAACGATTAGAAATAAAAGTAATTGACGTGGAATTTATTGTTTTTCTCTTTGATCAATTAAGTATTAAATCAATATACATATGGGATTATGTAATGTTTTTCTGAAAATTATTTCCCTAACCCCGACATGACAAAATTTATGGAATATATAACGATAATATTTAGTTAAGAAATTTATTACGTAGTAAAATACGTAATCAGTGTAGGCTGTGCGATATCATCGCGCAAAACCAAGTATTCAAGATTAAATAAAGGGAAATTCTATTTTAACCTGAACCCGCATTTACCAGCCACATAAGAATATAAGTTACGTAACCAATCGGGATAGAGGCATCCCCGAAAATGTGTTCCAGTTGGTGCTTCGGATGATTACGTTCCTGAATCGATCTTTTAACTTTGTAGTTTATCGTAATTGTAATGACTTTTACTGTAAAATGCAAATAATACTACGTAATAAATTTTATTTATTATTATCTAATTAATCTTGCGAATATTCTTTGCCGCATTTTTTTTTACATTTAAACTACTTTAATAATGTTTACAGTACTTTAAGTTGGTCTATTTCATTAATGTTTTCGATAAAAATGTATTTTTTTTTGGAGATTTTTCTTTTTTTGCGTGCCTTCATTTTAGTTGGATCGATATTTACATATTCTTTTTTAAATTTCGGATACCAATAAACAATTGACCATTTTGTTCTACATTAATAATAATTTAATGAAAAAATTTTCAACTTGTAAATGTTACAAATTATTAATAATTTGTGACATTAGTGGTTTCGATTTCCCTTTTTCCCGCTTTTTGTAAAAAATTAGTAAACAATTTTCTTTATTTAGTATGTAAATAGAGTTTCCATTTTTAACGAATTCATTAATTATGAGCAAATTATGGCAGAATATATTAAATTGGTCATTAATTTAAGCACATAAACTAACATCAAGCAAAGGTTATGAAAATATGGACTTTAAAGAATTGGCGAGGTCTTAAGAATTGAAACCGATAATAATTAGCTTTAAAATAAATATAAAAAAACAATGCTCAATAATTTGATAGTTTTCACCGAGCCTTAGAATAAGTACGTATACGTAAACAGTATAAACCTATCACGTGGCTAGTTTATATACTTTTATCAAATTTGATTAGTACTGTCGCTCATTACAGCTGTTTTCATAAATTTTGGGACACCTAAAAATTTATTCATTTCCCGAAATATCTTCGGTTTCGTTCTGTGAATTATCTAATTCTTCGGAAACTACTTCGCTATCTTTGGAACTTCGGTCCGGAGACAGCGATGTAGTTTTCGAAGAGTTAGATAATTCACAGAACGAAACCGAAGAAATTTCGGGAAACGAATAAATTTTTAGGTGTCCCAGAATTTATGAAAACAGCTGTAATAAAAAATTATTATGGCATTTACCGATTCGATAAAGTTTTGATTTCGGCATAATTATTATACATATTATAAAGATGCAAACATTGGAAAGTCTAAGATTGCTAACTCTTTACGTCATACAGTATAAGTTTCTGCTTTTTGTCAACGTTAATAATGTCTGCAAACTTTAATAATGGGGATTATTATTATTAAATTTATTGATATTTTATTTATCTTTAGTGCTATTATAATCTCTGTTAAATATGATACTTTCTTTGGAAAACAGTCGAAAAAAAAACTTGAAAAGCTTATCAATTTGAGTTACATTATTTTAAACCAGTCAATAAAATATCAAATCGAACTTTTTTTTTTATCACTTATTTGTGCAATATATTTAATATAAAAGTCTATCTTATACTATATTCTGATTTTTTTGGTTTATTATTATTGTCGATTGGTTGATAAAGGGCAGTCTTTGCTATAAGTTTTCATATAAACTATACACACAAAACATACTAGACAGGCATTCAAATGAAACTTAGTATTGACAATGTAATGCTATGTAGTATAATATCAAATACAGTACAAGAATATCTATTTACTGTATATAATGCCCAAAATCAAACCTTATCACCTAGCTAATTTTTAATCAGATGTCCCAGGCAGTGAAGAATGTCTAAAAAATTTTTTGTGGTTTTTGAGAACATAAATTATAATTTTTGGTTCTCAAAAAATTTTTTAATTTTTCAAAAAAATTTTAATATTCTCAAAAAAAATTTTATTATTAAATTTACAACATAAATTTTAACTTTAAAGTTCTCAAAACGAATGTTTAATATTCTTGAGAACACTAAGAACATCAGATATTCTTCACTGGTCCTATGAATAATGAAACTAGCTGTATCTGCTAAAATTAGTCTCTCATAGTTGCCGAAATAAAATGTTATATTTGCTGAAATTATTGCCAAAATTCTTTAAACTCTTTTCATAAAAATGCATCATATGGGATATTCATTTCGGAGGTTTCATATAAAAAATGTAGCAATACCTAAATGTTTGCCGAAAATACTTTTTTTCAAAAATAATTTAGGCATATATCTATAAGTTTGGATTTTGTATGAAAAAATTCCTTAGGTGCATATATCAGCTGAAATATTGAAACATGATACGTATTACCAACATAAACAAAAACCTCGTGCCTTAGAAGATAGATGTAAATTTAAGTAAAATTATAATTTAATTTTTCATTTCTTTGTACATTTGTACTATTTCATACAGATTTTTTGCTTTTACACATCTCTATATTAGATAATAAATAATCGTAGAATACCGGTATATTCTTTCATTTATCTTATAATTTGACTATCTTAAATAAATTGTTCAAAACAGCAATGAAATTTACATACAAAATAGAAGTAAAAGTTAACTATTTACAAAAAAGGACTTCTTATGTCACAAATTATTAATTTGTGACAGTAGATCTGGCAGGTTATTGCTGATGCTGGACAAAAGATTACTCAAATGAATTCATACTGAAATGAAAGGTGAAGGTAATTTTTAATTTTTATAGTAAAAATATATTTAAAATTTATTTATTCAAAGTTTTTTCAAATTATTAGAAATATCAAGGCTAACTTGAGCAGAATCATGAAATGAATCTAAATAAGAAATATTTTATTATTCTTAATTAAATATATGAATAAAAAAAATAATTAATAGATTGATTACCTTTTTTAATCGCGTCTGAAATTAATTTTGTGTTAATAATTTTGCTGGTATACATATAATCTGGATGACTTGGTGTGATTGTTGGTAATGCTTTAATGACTTCATTTGCATTCGAGAATTGCTTATTAATTTCATTTTTATCTTTAAGCCAATCTCTAATTTTCTCCGTAATATTTCCTGCACTAGGTCGTTTTTTTGGATCAGAGTTCATACATTGCATAGCCAATTCAACATAGCAACTAGGAGTTTCTTGAGCAAACTCTGGTCGCAATCCATTCTTAATAATCTCAATTGAAAGTTTAACATCAAAATCACGCCCATCAAAAGGTCTTTTTCCAGTTGACATTTCAGCCATGATAACGCCGAAGCCATAAATATCAGCTTTTTGTGTAAATTCACCACCTAATAAAACTTCCGGAGCAACGTAAGGCATGACACCATAAATATCTCCTTCCGAAACTCTCTCATTATTCTTTCGAGATAATCCTAGATCTGCAATATACGATTGCACATTTTTATTATTGCGTTGGTCATGCAAAATATTACCGCTGTGAAAGTCAGCATGAATATATCCTGCGTATTCGTGGATATGATGTAATTCAAGTGAGATATCTCGAAGTAATTGCAATTTATCCTGCCATGTAAGTTCTCTGAAATTTTTTCTTAAATATTTATAAAGACTTCCTTTATCAGCATACTGAAGAACCATCAAATATTCGTTTGTTTTGGTGGTATCTTGAGTTATTCCATATATTGCAAGCTTACTAAAATTTCTTTTACATATCATATGACTTTTAAACTTGATAATCAAAAATGAATTAATTAGTAAAACTATTTTTTTTTATTTATTATATAAAATTATTTATTTATAAATTGTAACAAATTAATTGATTAACTTACTTCTTTCAAAAAATCAAAATTATTTTCCTTAGTACTAGACAAGGTTTTGAGTGCAACGGTATTAGATTCTTCACGTGTTCTTCTATAATTATTTTCATCACCATCAATCTTTCGAATGCCATCTAACCAGGTCGCAGAATATACGGAACCAAATCCTCCTTTTCCAATTTCTTTAACATTAGATAATTTATCAAACGGAATCCATTCAATCATTTCATCATATTTATAAGTTCTAAGTTGAAATTCTCTGATACAATCGTCAACATCCTTGTTTCTACTTGTCCATCCTTGTGCTGTGATATCTGGATCACATGTCAGACACCACGATGGTTGAGTATTATTTTCATTACAATGTGCACATTTACCGTGTTTAGGATCCCTTTGATATAATTTTTTATATCATTATTTATTTTAAATTTCATCGTGATTTTGAAAATTATGCTACTCACCGACTAAATTAATTTGAATGAAGTGATTTGAAGTGTATTAGGTAATTAATTAATTGTAAATAAGTATTTAGAGTTAAGTATTTATGAATAAGTATTTATGTTCATGATTTTAATGAAACTGATTAACGTTAATAAATCATCTTTATACTCA